AAGAGAAGAATACCTGGAGGGTTTGTTCCTTTTTCAATTCAGCCTTTAATAGGCCCTGTTAAATTGGCAGGCGTGTGTATTACTGACCAGGTGTCTATTTTCCTGTAACACCAAAAGGTAAAGGCCATTTTTTTCCCCATGAATAAAAGTTGTTACAGTCAGGAAACAAACCATGTAGTTTGTCTACAACCATTTCTGTTGTGAAGCTAATTGATTTTGGCCAGTAAAACTTTATGTCTAAAATCAAAGTTCAAAGAATAAAGTGTGTATACCTTCTGTAGCATGTATAAAGAGACCAGGCACTATGCAGGGATTGAGGCAAACATTTGAACATATTTATATTCTTCATGTAGCTGTCTCTATAAATTATATGAAATCCATTTTTGTAGATGCAGAGTATGAGATCTCTAGGCATAAAAATGACTAAAATGCAATTGTATAATATCAGCTACCTGCACTTGTTTTTCTCCTTCCTAATACCATCTCGTATTTTTTTTTGGCTGAAACTGAGAAGCGATACTAAATAATTTTCCTAAAGTATACCCATACAACTAAATGAAATCCATAATGTAAATCAACCCTCTTAATCATCATGATATTAATGAGGAAGACAGGTGCTGAGTAACCATATGTTGACTGGGCTGTCTCTATAGATAATCAAGTCCCTAAGAGTGAAGACAGAGTAGAAATGGAGAATGTGAAAGTGAAGCAATAATAACACCTTCTATCAATGAGTAAATGACCAGAAAATCCGTACATGCAGAACAAGAAAACAGCACACTTCCTTCAGTAGAACCATGTTAGTGTTGCTTGTTTTTGTATTTGTCTTGTTTTGTTTTCCTAACAAGAGAAAGGAGGAGAAATTGAAGAATGATCTAGAAATGTTAGGAGGCTGTTGATCACAACTGGAGGTTCAATTTTCACTCATTGTCATATAACTTAGTTGTTATTCAGGAAATAGGCTGAAAGACACTGGCAGAGGAAAATTGTGGAGGTGGGAATGTTGTGAAGTTAGCAGTGTAAGCTGGATAATCACTTTTAGCTGGCAAAAAGATGACCATTTCTATAGGAACATTAGCACAGGAGTGACCTAACCATTGTAAGTCTCTTTCTTATGGTCCTCTACATCCAGCCCAGGCGATATGTTGATCAATCTCCTTTACCACACAAGGCAAAACAAGTACTGAATTTCAACCAATGATCACAGATCTTGTGTTGTCTCATCCTTGCTGGTACTATTCTTTTTTCCTTGGCTCAATTGTTGCCTTTTAAAACTCTTCACCTGAAGCAGCCACTAGGCTTTTCCTTGGGTACAATGCAGAAGAGGAAAGCAATGATAGAAGTGGGTGCTTGTTATTGGGTACAGCTGGACAGGTGGGATGGGTGACGGCAAAGCTCCAAGGATGTCAAGGGTAGAAATGGTGACGTCTGCCTTTGAAGCTACACAACTCCCTGCACAAACAAGTGAGTGGAGCTTTGAATGCAATGCTGGTAAAAAAGTAACATAATATCGACTTAGTTAAGGCAAGATTCTCTGTGGGGAAGGAAAGGCCTTCAGCCTCTATTTGGCCCTGAGGCTCATGGAGAGAGACCTTTGCTGATACTTCACTTGGGCTCAGAAAGACTCCTGCCCTCTGCCAGAGATTGGCCAGCAGTCCATCTCTCTTGTTCTGTGTTTTCTTACCATCTCTTCCCCTTTTTATCTGCTCTACTCTGTTGTGCACATGGTCTCTTCAACTATGCCCTTACCCACAGCCTTTTAAATGTGGAAATAAACAAAACAAATAACATGATCAAGAACTTACTAGTTTCTAGACCAAGTGTGGTGGCTCACACCCGTAAACCCAACACTTTGGGAAGCCAAGACAGGAGACTTGCTTGAGACCGGGAATTTTAGAGACCAGCTTAGGTGACATAGGAAAAACCCTCCCTACAAAAAAATTTTAAAAAATTAGCTGAGTATAATGATGTACACTTGTAGTTTCAGCTACTCAGGAGGCTGAGGCTGGAGGATCTCTTGAGTCTAGGAGGTCAAGACTGCAGCTAGCCACTGCACTCCAGCCTGGACAACAGAGTAAGTCCCGGTCTCAAAAAAAAAAAAAAAAAATTCACTGGTTTCCAATGTAACAACTCCTTTATCTCAGAGTAGATGTACACATAGAATTGGAAGCTATTTTTTATAATTACAATGTCTTAGCTATTCTGAACTGAGTTTGCTGGTGTGATTATGTCACTGTGGATAATGATTTTCTTGTTTTTTACACAACGTTTATCAACTTTGACTATGCTTCCTGTCCTGAGCAAGCTCCCTGTTTTATAAAACAACTGGGAACACTGAGATTTTTCATATAATTCCTGTGATGCCAGGCTTCTAATGGATAAAGAAATACAAAGAACAGTGAGTGGACAGATTGAGTGGGGCTTTGAAAGCAATGCAGAGTAAAAAGATAATAGAATATATGCTATAAAGACACATGCAAATGTATGTTTATTGCAGTGCTATTTACAATAGCAAAGACTTGGAACCAATCTAAATGCCCATCAATGATAGACTGGATAAAGACAATGTGTCACATACATAACATGGAATACTATTCACCCATAAGAAAGGATGAGTTCATGACCTTTACAAGGACATGGATGAAGCTAGAAACCATCATTTCAGTAATCTAACACAGGAACAGAAAACCAAACACCACATGTTCTCACTCCTAAGTGAGAGTTGAACAGTGAGAACACATGGACACAGGGAGGTGATCATCACACACTGGGGCCTGTCAGGGGTTGAGGGCAAGGGAAGGGAGAACATTAGGACAAATACCTAATGCATGTGGGGTTTAAAACCTGGAGATCAGGTTGGTGGGCACAGCAAACCACCATGGCACAAGTATACCTATGTAACAAACCTGCATGTTCTGCACATGTAACCCAGACCTTAAAGTAAAAAATTTTTAAAATGAAAGATAATAGAATATTAGCCTGGTTAAGGCAAGATGTGTATTTTTTAACATATATTCCCAATTAAAGATTGTACATGTACTTCTTAATGTTATTAACTCTGTCATGTATTAAGATGAACAGAAAGGCATTTCTATTCTATGAATTTCTCTTATTCTTTACTTGTATCTTTCAAAAAGAAAAAATAAATAAATACACACTCAGCTCTCCCCAAAATAACCAAAACAAAAACAATCAGTGCAATAATACTTCTCAAAAGATATGCTTGCCTCACTATCAGAAGGTCTGCCAACTTCCGTCTATGCACTAGAAGTGCATTTAAAACTTTTTTTCCCTGTGTCTTGTCTTTAATGTTTTTATAACTTCAATCCACTTCATTGGCATTACCTGCTAGCAACATTCCATCTTCACATTTGGATGAGTGTGAACTTATCAAGGTGATGTATCTGTGATTTTCAGTGGAAATTTTACTTTAGTGGAAATTTTGCTTGAAACTGGGAGCCGATATGCCTCAGTACAAAGTACACAAAGTATATTCTGACTGTTTCAGTGATATGCCTGCTTTATTTCAAGTGAAATAAGTGAATTTTTAAAAGGTTATAAAAATGTGTATGCTTTTAAAAAATTCTTTCAATAACCTGTTGGGTATCTGGAATATCCATATATTGGAGGTCTTTGTTCTCATTCTACAAGGAAAATCGCCAAATCCACTCCAGAGTGCCAGGCTTAAAAAGGTGTTGAAGAGAGCCTGCCCGATTACCTGAATTCCAATTTGGCTCACAATGAAAGGTAGAAAAATTACCTCGATGCATTTCAATGTTGCTTCTCCCATTGCAATAGACCTTATTTAATAGCTTATTGCACTCAGAAAACAAAGCATATTCTAAGGAAAGAACTCACGGCTCCTGTCTCTTGACAGAACGGTCTCTTCAAATTCTTTTGTCGATTTCATAGATTTCTAACAAGCAGAGAATTGTTTTTTTTTTAATCTGATTTTTTTTTTTATGCCAGCAGCACTATTTCCTCCTCTGTAAGTAGGACAGATTCATGCTATAAGCAGCAATGGATGCTTCCCCGCTGAACTTGAGCATGGCAGATTAAGCTTCAAGCAGGCCAGTAAATGCCACCTCCCCATTTAACAAGACTGTTCAGAGCCAGGCTTTTGGGGCCACGCTGTATTTGTTCCTGGAACTGCTGGCTGATGAGCCACTTCTGTCTGAGGCGGCCAAGCAGCCCTGACTGAGCGAGCTGTGTGAAGACTTGACAGAAGCCTGGCAGGGCTGAGTGGGCATGCCTCATTGCCGGCACTTCCAGGCAAATTCCTTGCCTCTAAATTGTGCCCGCCTCAGGACAGTTGCCTTGTACAATGCCTGGCAGAAAGTAGGCACTTTGCACATGTTTACTGCAAAAAGGAGAAAAATAGGGAGAGAAAAAATTCTGAGTTTAGAGATGCCTTTCAGACCTTACCAGATAAAATGCTGTTATTTCTGGCAAAGTGGTTAGGTGACACTGACTTGGAAGAACAGCTAAGAGGTTAAAAAAAGAAAAATAGGACGAGCAATGAGCAAGCTAATAAAACACATGGAAACAAAATTAGTAGTAGCCAAAATCTTTAATTGATCAATTATATTTCAAAGTGTCTTTTATTAGGATAATGGCACTTGCGATATGATGTTTCTAAATGCCTTTCAGAGACCAGTGTGTTCCATAAAGAAAAATACACCTGTATCCAGAATTACAATTTTAAGAACCATTATTTAGATTGCTGTGAGGTATCTTAAAATGCAGTTCAGTTTGCTCCTCAGATATTGTATATCAAACTGTAAAAGCAGAGCTACATTGTTGGCTTTCTCTTTTTTTTTTTGGCACAGAAATAGAATAGAGAATCTGCCTGTTGATGTCAGAAACAGACTGAGTCAAACAATACAAAAGCATGAATGTATTGTTCTCACATTTATGTCATTGATGGCTATTTAACTTGTTAGAATCTGAAATCTTTCACAACCACATGCGTATGTTTGTCATTTATCCCCTTTTCTCAGGTGCAAAGAAGGCTACCAAGGAGTCCGTTGTGATCAATTTCTGCCGAAAACTGATTCCATCTTATCGGATCCAAGTAGGTCAAGCATTTTTCTTCTCTCTAATGCAATATGTAGGCAGCTCTTATTCTATGCGATGGCTGTTAACTCAGCTGAAAGCTATATTTCAGTCTTGTGTCTCTGAAAGCTGCCGAGGGCAGAAACTGATGGCAAATGTTGGTGTTAAAGCATGCTCAGAGCTGGCTCAGTCTAGGTCTTCTCTGACAGTGAGGCCTGACCTACCAATTCCACCTTGAACCCCTGATGGTATCTCCCAACAACTGGGGCCTCCTTAGCTCTCCCTCTGCGCAGCCACCCAGCACCTCATTTCAAAAACAGGGATCTAGAAAGATAAAAGAGCTGAAATAATGTTACGGAAACTACAGTGTTATACTGCTTCTTATGCTTTGGTTAGTGATTTAAACCATACCTTACTAAAGAAAGAAAACGTGTATAAAATCATGTAAGAAGTTTTCAAAGAAGCTTTAAAAACTCTATTTTCCTTATTTATTTATTAAAGTTTCCTTAATAAAGAAACTTTGAAAACTCCATTTTGGCAACACTGTTTGCAGATCAGTAATTACTGTCCTAAGGACAAGTTATTTTTTTCTCCATTCATGAAAGAAGACTAAAAAATATGGCTAGTCATTATTTTCTGTTTATATATGAGTAAAAGTAACCTTTTATACTAAAACACCCAATTCTAGTCAAATGTGAAATTTTATCTTTAAAGAATCCTCTGCTCTTTCAATAGCTGCTAGAATTGAATCATTACTCAAAAAAGGGCATTTTTATTGAATCAGCAATTTAGTTTAGTGAGGATAATGATAGGCATTTTGCAATTGTAAAGGCAAAGTTATGGTTTTCTGAATATTATACATACTGAATATACATAACACAGATTTCAGCAAAATATTTTGTACTGACTACAGACAGAGGTCTGTGTTCATTTTGCGACATAATGAACATGTCTTGCCATCGTCCAATATCTTTTCAAAATGCATATTTTCATTTCCCCCCTGAATTTTTAGCTACATTTGCTTAAGTAAATGCAAAGTTATTTGAAAGAAAAAGGTTTTGTTTCATTTAATTTAATTCTATTTTATCTTGACAAAGCAATCCACCATACAGCAATTACTCTTTCTTTGCAAATTTAGCTTTCCTTGAGAAAAGTGAAGGCTGCCACAGGGATATCTCTATTTCCTGAAAGGTGAGGCACGGTTCTCTAGGAATTGCCCAGAAAGGATGTTTGTTGCTGGAGTTTTGGTATCTTATTTATGAAGTGATTTGGTCCGCTTGCTAAGATGTCATCTGAAAGGGTATTCATGGTTATGGTGTTAGATGTATATTTGGCATATTAGGAAACTTGCATAAAATAATGGGCTTGCTGATTTCTTTCTTTTTCTTTCTCTTTCTCTTTGATTCCCACTTTTCCTAATGTATCTAGTTTTCCTCTTTTTTTTCTCTTTTCTTTTTTATCCCTTCTCTTTTCCTATTTATCTTTATTTTGTCTCCTTTAATACTTCTTCCCTCCCTCCCTCCCTCTCTCCTTCCCTCCCTTCTGTCTTTTCTTTCTTCCTCTCTTCCTTCCCTCCTTCCTCCTTTCCTTCCTCTTTTCCTTCCTCCCTCCCTCCCTCCTTCTCTTATTTCCTTCTTTGCTTTCTTTTCATATATGGCTGTGGAATAGCTATTGAGTAAAGGCTCCAAAGGGCAAGGCCTTGCATATGGTACAAAGGGTAAAAACTCTTTAAACAATCTAATCAAATTTTAGCATCCATTTAGATATCATAGTTCATCATTCCAAAAGTGGAGGATCGTCCACCATAATGACGTTCTCTCCTCATAGAACAAAACGATCCCATGGTTACAGTCACTGTCTCTGAAAACCTATTTCTATTTCTATTAAATAACTATTAAAATTATAGCTGTGTGAGCCAGGCAAGGTGGCTCATGTCTATAATCCCAGCACTTTGAGAGGCAAAGATTCTTTAGGTCAGGAGGGTTAGAGACCAGCCTGGCCAACATGGTGAAACCCCATATCTACTAAAAATACAAAAATTAGCTGGGTGTGGTGGTAGGTGCCTGCAGTCTCAGCTACCTCAGGAAGCTGAGGGAAGAGAATTGCTTAAACCCAGGAGGCAAGGTTGCAGTGAGCTGAGGTCAAGACACTGTACTCCAGCCTGGGTGACAGAGCAAGACTCTATCTAAATAAAAAAAAAGAAAACAAAAAAGTAAAGAAAAGAAAAGTATAGCTCTCTGATGTGTTTCTATTAAGTGAAATTGCAAGATAGAATATTATTTTTATATAAAATTGCAAAAGGAACATACTTTGGCCCAAATGTAGAAAAGAAATATACTAAAATGTTGAAAGGATATGGAATTTTATGAAATTGTTTTCCTATTTCTCCAGTTTTCTGTAAAATGGTATATGATTTTTTGAGTCAAAATGCCAGAATTCCTTGCATTTTTTAAAAAAAGAATAAGCACTGAGAACCCATGGATGAGTCCCTGAGATACAGCTTAAATGGTTCATGCACACATGCATTTCTTTAGGAAATTGTTAATTCATTTCATCAGTATTTTCTGAGCATCCACCAAGAGCCACCTAATCGGTCAGGTTCTGTTAATACAAAGGTGTGCAAACAGGATTTAGACTCTGAGGATCCCACAGATTAGTGAGGGAGAAAAACATGTGGATATATAAACATGGGGATAAATTTGGTGTAACATTTACCCCTTTCTGACTTTAGTATATTTTATTTGGCTCCCAGGCCTCAGCAATGTTAACCGGGATTATAGGCATGAGCCACGGTGTCCAGCTCACACAGTTGTAATTTTAATAGCAATTTAATAGAAGTTGAAATAGGTTTTCAGGGATAGTGAATGTAACTATGGGATCATTTTTCTCTATGAGGAGAGAACAGTCATTATGGTGGACCCATCCTCGACTCTTGCAAGGATGATCTATGATATCTAAGTGGATGATTTCACCTGAGCAATGGTAACAATAATACCTATAAGCATTATTGTTATCATATAGATCGACAGAGTTAATCCCAGATAACGTCAGCCCACTTCCCTTATTCATCACTGTAATCATTACTAATATGTGTTTAAATGATACATGTGCCAGGCACTGTGCCAAAAGCTTTACATGGATTATTTTAGTAAACCCTCCCAGTCACAGTTTAGTAAGGAGAGTGCTGACAATTGCCCACATTTTATAGATGAGGAAATTAGACCTCAGGGATGCTAAGTAAGCTCGCTCAAGGTCATACAGCTAGTTAATGCTAGAGTTTAACTTCCATTCCAAATGACTCTAGGACCTGAGCTCCCAACTGCAGGGTGCTTTCTTCCCTCCCCTAGAAGCCTCCCTTCTCTAGTTATTTTCAACAGGACATTTATCACTCTAAATTCCATTGACTGAAACTCAATGACCTGCGGCAAACATTATTCTAAGGAACAATATTTGCACAATTTTCATATCTTAATGCAGCAACTTGAGCTTCCATAGAGATTTAAATCCCTAATGAAATTTCCTTGTCAAAACTCTTGCTGAAGGATTGTTTAATTTGCTGCTCATGATATCTTCACAATGATTCTAGGCTCGGGAAGTAAACTTCCATTCAGTACTCTCCCCTCCATTTTTCTTCTTCTGTCTCCTCTCTTCTCTCCATTCCTTCTTCGTTCCTTTCTCTCTCTCTCCCTGTCTGTCCAGTGCATACTTTTGCTGAGTGAAATCCCCATTAACAGGGGGTGAGAATCCCCTGATCTTTTCTTCTCTCTCAGGCAATGCAAAGTTGGTCAGAAACGTGTACCTTTTACAATAAATTTAAAAAATATAATAAAATCTTAAAGGACCTATATTTAGGAAAATGATGCAAAGATGTCACTGTGAGAGCCTTAAGGGCTTAAATGACTATTTCAAAAACTCATCCCCTCTGCTTTCTTTTCAATTCCAAGAACCTAGAGCTAACTCCATTCAGGAACACATTTACATATGAGGATCACTCTTATAAAGTGCTTCAATGACAGTTTTTATAAAAATATCTAATGGACCAATCTGTCAGATTGATCAAACCCTCCTATGGATTCAATGTACCTCAAGTTGCTTTCACATCAAGAGGCTGAATAGCAAGCAGGGGTTCGGAAGGAATGTAGTGAGTGACTCAGACTTTGGTCAGAGTCAAAAGGATGTGACCTTCTGTGGAGGAGCCAGCATCAGCTAATTTGCATTTTTGAAGGACATATTTCTGCCCCCTGCCTCCTATGCTGCCAGTGCACCCATGGATGGCAGCAGTAAGCTTCCCAGCAGCTGACTTGTAGACTCCTGCCCTGGTTTTCCTTCCTTACTACCCATTCCCACCCAGTGCAGTTACCATCCCCAGCCTTGAAGCAGAGTTAGATGGAGCTTAACTATGTGTTGGTCAGAACTATGAGCCAGCCAAGGATTTTCCCCATCTCTGCTCTCATGAGCACGTGCCAAGCTGAGTTCTCTTCAGGATCCTGACATAATCACTGTCCGATGGAAGCATGGGGGCTGCTTCAGAGAATAGACTCAGAACAGAATCAAAGAATTGGGTCAGGTAGAGAAGATACCCATTGGAAGTAAGGGCGCGCCTCCTCACACACAGCTGGAGGCAGCCATTTCTACACTTCCCTATGTCTTTCTCTCCCTGTCGGAATCCAGTACTTAGCATCTTCCTGGCTGTGACAGCAGGCTTGAGTCTGCAGGCTCAAGCTCTGGCCTACAGTGTATAGAGCTTAAACTCTTGGAGTCATCTAGCCCCTCCATGGGGTCTTGCTTGTCACCCAGACTGGAGTGCAATGGCATGATCTTGGCTCACTGCAGCCTCAACTTTCTGAGCTCAAGTGATTCTCTTGCCTCGGCCTCTCAAATAGCTGGGACTACAAGTGCCTGCCACCACACTTGGCTACTTAAAAAAAAGAGTTTATAAAGACAGGGTATTGCTATGTTTCCCAGGCTGATCTTGAACTCCTGGCCTCTGGAGATCCTCCCCTCTCAGCCTCCCAAAGT